GCTACGAAACTGCCTTCACGACGTCCCCGACAGGCCAACCACGAGATCCAAACTAACACCCATGAGGCCTCTGACCCACCACCGAGGGCACTGTGGCGGGAGCAGTGACAGCAGGCGGGAGCCTTCCGGAACACGCTGCAGGAGGAGGAGGAAGATCAGGAGGAGAGAGAGCTGGAGTGGGAGGAGGAGGAGGGGGACGAGGAGGAGGAAGAGGCCTCCAAGACAGCTCCAAAATGGCCGAAGAGGCTTCCAAGAGGGCCCTGGGCGGCCCACGAGGGCCCCAAGGCGGTGCCTGAGGCGCCCAAGAAGGCCCGAGAGGGCCCCAAGACGGCCCCAAGAGAGGCCCAAGAAGGGAAACACGAACTGAGAATCCATTTTTTTTCACCCCGAGAGGTTCTCGGGAAGTCCCAAGAGGCCCCCAATCGGATCCAGGAGGCCCCCTAGAAGCTCCCAAGAGGGCCGACGAGGTTCCAAGAGATCTCCCAAGGTGGCCCCAAGAGGCACAACTCATTGTTTTACGAATGGGCTTTGACGGGTTTTAATTTTTTCGGCCTTTTGGCATCCGATGCTCCAAGACGGCCCAAGTGGCTTCCAATACCGCTCCAATATAGAGGAAGAGGCCTCCGAGAGAGCCCCAAGACGGCCCGCGGGGGGCCCCAAGACTGTGCTTGAGGCTCCCAAGACGGCCCGAGAGGGCCCCAAGAGCCCCAAGAGAGGACCAAGAAGGGGAACGCGACCCAACAGCAGAGCGTTTCCCCCAAAAGGCCCACAGGAGGCCGCAAGAGGACCCCAACAGCTTCCCGAGGGCCGAAAAGGCCCCTAGGACACGTCCAAGAGGTTTTAAAATAGCCCAAGAGTGCTGTCGAGCCCACGAGCCCACATGCCTAATACAGACATCGACGCAAGCTGTGGGAACCCCCAGCCGGCTGAGACATAGCTTATCCCACAAAGTGGGATAAGGCATCCAGAGCGTATGTTGTGCAAGCGTTGCAGTGTGGCGCGCCGTAGCGGTGACCGGTTGTCGCGTTTCTCAACAGCTACACGGATGGCCGCTTCAATAGCGGATGGGCCGGCACGCCCAACGTGTAGCAGCAGTCAATTTGTGTGCATTCGCGTCGCGACTGGCGTTTGCGCTCAAACCCCTCTCTTGGCAGGAAAAGCATCACGTCATGGTAGCGGAGCCGTGGTAACACACGGCTCGGCAATCCTGATCGCCGCAACGCCCACCAAGCGCGGGCAGCGATCCACCAGCAGGGCTGCGGCCCGCGTGCGCCGTGGTTCGGCGCGCAGGCTAGTGCCCCGGGCTGCGGGTGGCCCCGCGCCGAGGCGCACGACACAGCGCCGGGTAGCGGGTAGCCCCGCGCCCTGGCACCATGGAGGAGCTGCGCGTGTCGATGGAGGCGCTGAACGCCCGGCTGCAAGCACAGGAGAACGTCGTGCAGCAGCTCCAGGGCGAGAGGCAGCAGCTCCAGCAGGAGCTCCAGCAGGCCAGGCAGGCGCCTCGCGTGGAGCCGGCGCCACCTCCGAGCGGGATGGTAGACACCAGAGTGATCGGCAAGCCGGGCGAGTTCGCGGGCGACGTGACGAAGTTCGCGGACTGGAGCTTCAAGATGAAGTCCTACTTCGGTGCCGTGGACCACAGGTACCAGGGCAAGCTGATGGAGGCAGAGCAGTCGCAGGTCACGATACGGAACGCCACGATGGAGCCGGACGTCGCCAGGCTCAGCACGCAGCTGTACTAAATCCTCGTGATGACCACGTCCGGGTCGGCATTGGACAAGTGCCACAACGCGGGGGTGAACGAAGGGTTCGAAGCGTGGCGCCAGTTCGTGCTGGAGTGGGGGCCGAAGCTGAGGAGCCGGTTCGTCGGTCTTCGCATGCAGGCGATGGCTTACAAGTTCACGGGAGACATTCCCAGCGCTCTCGCAGCCTTCGAGCGCCTCGTGCGGGACTACGAGAGCCAGTCCAACAAGAAGATCGACGACGACGATAAGATCGGCGTGGTTCTGCTGGGCATGGAGGACTCCAGGGTCAAGCAGCACTTGATTCGGAACAGCGCCGGCCTCGACACGTGGCCCAAGATGCGCGAGGAGATCTTGGAGATCACCCGGGCCCAACAGTACGTCGACTCGCAGCCGACGCCCATGCTGCTCGGAGCCATCCCTCGGGGAGGCAAGGACCCCAAAGGCGGGAGGCCGAAAGGGGGCAGGGATCCCAAGGGCCCCGGCAAGAAAGGCAAGGACAAGGGAGGCAAGGCCGACGGCGGGAAGAACCAGAACGTCGAGAAGGAGTGCTTCTACTGCAGGAAGAAAGGCCACGTGAAGGCCGAGAGCAGGAAGAGACAGCGAGACCTCGCCGCAGCGGAGAACAGGCGGGGGCCGTTCGCCGCGACTCCAGGAGGGCACAGCGCACCCTCCTCGGGGGTTCCGCCGCCGCCGCCAGTCCAGACACCGCCAGGACAGCCACTGTCGGCGCTGCTGCAGAGCCAGCACACGTCGACCTTCGTCCTCTAGGAGCTCTGCCCACCGCCGCAGCAAGCAGCGGCAGCGCAGCGGCCATACTGGTCCGCGACACGGACAGACCCGTCCCAGTGCTGGCAGCGACACGGACGGACACGAAGTACCTCATGATCGACACGTGTGCTGGGGCGAGCGTGTTCCCACGAGGATTGGGCCCAGCAGCCGAGGACGATTCGCCAGTGGGCCCGGTGCGGCTCGCGACGGCGACGGACGACCCGGTCGTCGGCGACAATGGGAAACAGCCCCGCTTCGGGCTGCAGGACGGCCGGCAGGTCACGGTGAGGTACAACGAGGCCGAGGTGAAGTTCCCGATCGTGAGCGTCGGGGAGGCGGCAGGCCAGGGCACTTGGTTCCTCTTCGGCCCGGGTCATCAGGTGATGCTGCCCAGCGAGGCGTCTCCGGACCTCGAGCGGATCTCTCAACTTCCCAACGCGGTGAACTTGGAGAAGCACCGCGGGGTGTACTGGCTGCCGTGTTAGGTGGAGGAGCCGCGGGACGCGACGCCCCTGTGTCCAGTGCGGCCGGCGGCTGAGGTTCAGCAGGCGCCGGTGCAGGCTCCAGCCCAGGAGCCAGAACAGGAGGCAAGGGCCTCCGGCAGCGGTCTGGGCGCGGGCAGCCCCGCCCCGGCGCAGCTGCGGGAGAGCGAGGAGAGCCGTGCAGTTTCGCACGAGAAGCTCCCTCCAGAGGTGTCGAAGTTCGAGTTCGACACCCACCAGATCACGCACTTGCCGTTCCGCTCGTGGTGCCCCCATTGCGTAGTGGGCAAGGCCAGCGACGACGCCCATCACCCGCGCCCTGACGCAACCAAGGGCGAGGCTAGGTTTGCCATGGATTACTTCTTCCTGGTGAGGGCCGTCGACCCGCAGCGGTTAAAGTCCGTGCTCAACTGCCTGGACATGCTCAGCGGCGCCGTCTTCGCAGCGATGGTGGTCAAGGGCGGCGATCCGTGCGCGCTGGCCTTTCGTCATCGAGGCTCTGAAGTACACGGGCCGGGCGCGCGTGGCGATCCTCTGCGACCAGGGGAACGCCGTCAAGAAGCTTGCCGACGACGTCCGGGACAGCCGCGCCCACGAGACATCGCTGCTGAACACCCCGAAGGGGTCCAGCGCCAGCGATGGAGGCATCGAGCGGGCGAACTACGAGGTCGAGAAGCAGCTCAGGACGCTCCGGTCGCGTTTCGAGCAGTGCTACAACCTGACGGTGGGTTTGGAGCACAAGATCTTGCCGTTCATGGTCAGGCACGCTGCCTGGCTCCTGACTCACTTCCAGGTGAAAGCAGACGGCGCGGAGGATCCCGAGTATCCCAACTTGGACGTGCCCTCGGGATTTCGTGCCGCAGCCGAGTTGGACAACTCGGAGTGGACCCAGCAGATCATCGACTGGGGGCGGACGTACTACGGGGTCAAGAGCGGCAAGGCGCTGGACAAGCAGAAGGTGTACGAGGGGCGCGTCCGCGAGCTCGAGAACATGGAGAGGCTCGGCGTCGTCGGGCCGATCTCTATCGCGGATGCTCGTTCGCTCGGCCTGGAGATCGTCTATTCCAAGTGGCTGGAGGACGAGAAGCCGACCGCCGAGGACGAGAAGGCGGTGAGGTGCAGGCTCGTGGCGACGCAGGTGAACACTTACAACCGGGAGGACGTGGCCCAGGCCACGCCGCCGATCAAGGCGTCCAGGATGATCGTGAGCATGGCTGCCACGAAGACCAATGCCAAGGGGCAGCGCGACTGGTTGATCGGCCGCCACGACATCCAAGTGGCATTCTTCCACGCCGCTGGGTCGGGGAAGGTGGTGATCATTCCGCCTCGTGGTCTGGCGCCTCCTGGTGTGGGCTGGCGAGCTCTGAAGGCCATGTGTGGGGCGCGCGAGGCCAGCAAGTGCTGGGGCAACGAGGTCACCGACACCATGAAACTCGAGGGCGCCAGGCAGGTCGTAGTGGTACCCATGATGTTCGTCTACGACAGCTTTGGGTACGTCACGTGCTGCCACGGCGACGACTTCCTGACGGCAGGCGCGGCTTCCACCCTCGACGAGATCGACCGGGTGCTGACGAATAACTTCGATGCGAAGATCTTGCCTCGGCTCGGACCGCCGGCGCACGGCGGCGAGGTAGCTGAAGGGCAGCACCTAGGGGGGGCGATCCGCTGGACACCTGAGGGTTTCGAATGGGAGGCCAATCCCAAGCATAGGGGGGATCTCCTGAGCCTGGCAGGGCTCAATAAGGACCCGAAGGGTGCACCGACGCCGTCGTCTAAGTCGACCGCGGCCGGCAGGCGCGACAGGGACGACGACATGGAGGGCAAGGCCGCGACGAGCTTCAAGCAGGGCGCCGGCGCCGCGCTGTACCTGTCCATCGACCGCCCAACCATCCAGTTCGCTACGTCGCAGGTGATGGCCGGGATGGGCATGCCGAAGGTGTTGCACGGCTTGCAGCTGCAGCGCGTGACGCGCTACGTGCTCAAGCACCCGACGGAGGTGTGGCTTTTCAGGTGCCAGAAGGAGCCCGGCGGTCTGTGCGTCTACACGGACGCGGATTGGGCAGCCGACGAGCTGACAAGGAAGTCAACTTCGTGCACGGTGGAGCGGTGCGGGGACCACATGCTGGATTGCAGCGTGGCCAAGCAGGCGACGATCGCGCTGTCCAGCGGCGAGGCCGAGTTCTACGGCATCGTGCGTGCGGTGGCGATTGGGAAGCAGACGAGCCAGATCCTATGCCAGATGGGCCTTGCGAGCGATCTGACCGTAGCGTCAGACAGCTCGGCCGCGCGAGGCATGTGCGGCCGGGCGGGTTCCGGCAAGGTCTGGCATTTGGCGATAAAGGAGCTGTGGGTGCAGGAAGCGCTGAGGAACAAGGAGTTCGAGCTCGCCATCGTGGACGCGCTCCTGAATTGGGGCGACATCGGCGCGAAGGCGCATGCAGCGGAGAGGCTGGACTCCCTAGTCAGGCAACTTCCGCTTCGCCGCCTGTGAGAGGGGCTGGTGGCGGCGATTGTACATGCACTTTGCATGCGTTATGCCCATGCGCGCCTAAGACACCATAGGTATGGAGAAGGCGCGCGCCGGCTGCATGCCACCCTGGCCTTTGTGGCCGTGGAGGGGATCACGCACTCCGTCCGGCTGATGGTCGCGGGTTGCACCGCGCCGCATCCGGAAGACAATGAGTTTGATGCGACGGTCGCGGGTGGCACCGCACGGCATCTGGACAGTGGCACTTTTGATGCGATGGCTGCGGGTAGCACCGCGCCAGCGCAGGCGATCCAGGATGGTGCGGGCAGCACCGCCCCTGATAGCGAGGCTCACGCCTAGGAATGCCCTGGGGTGACCTTCCGGGCCAGGCAGGGCCCAAGGCGGCGGCCAAGAGGGTCGCTGCGACCGGGTGGTCGCGGGCAGCTCCGCACCACTGAACCTCGCCACGCGCGCCGGTAAGGCGGCGAGACGTTAGCCTGGTCGGGCCAAGGAGCCCAGCCCGACCTGGCGGGAGTGATCCTGAACGACTGGTGAGAGTAGGGACAGACCCTCGGACGAGGGGAGGAGGCGACTGCCGTAGCTTTGGCATCGCCTGGCTGCTTTCTTGCATGTGACGCTCCTTGTCGCTTGGCCCAAGATGGGTTGGCAGCGATGGAGGGGTGTCGAGCCCACGAGCCCACATGCCTAATACAGACATCGACGCAAGCTGTGGGAACCCCCAGCCAGTTGAGACATAGCTTATCCCTCAAAGTGGGATAAGGCATCCAGAGCGTATGTTGCAAGCGTTGCAGTGTGGCACGCCGTAGCGGTGACCGGTTGTCGCGTTTCCCAACAGCTACACGGATGGCCGCTTCGATAGCGGATGGGCCGGTGTAGCAGCAGTCAGTTTGTGTGCATTCGCGTCGCGACTGGCGTTTGCGCTCAAGCCCCTCTCTTGGCAGGAAAAGCATCACGTCAAGTGCCCTCGATGCGTCAAAACTGCTTAACAGGGGGTCCCCAGGAGGCTTCCGGATTGTTTCAATCTGGCCGCATGCGGCCTCAAGTCGGGCCTCCACGCAGCCAAGACGGCCAATGACGGCTTCAGATTGCAGAACCGATGCCCTCAGACGCCTTCCCAAGAGGCACCCAAGAGGTGCTTCCAACAGCCAGTTGACGAAGCATGCGGAACACCCCAGATGCTCCTCAGATGCCGTCGCGCGCCTGTGCTTGATAGCGTTGTTCAAGATCGTCCAGCGTCCCCCCGGCCTGGGCTAGAACCTGAGCGCGCGCGAAGCGCGCGCCATGGTTCTCGTGTATATATATACACATATGGTAATATAATCTAACTTTAGTCGTATGGGGGAGTGAGCTCCTGGGCAGGCCGCTGGGGGCCCCTCCTTCTGCTCTGCAGTAACTTTGGGTCGGGCCCTCTTCGAGGGCATGCATTTGCGGGGGCCAGCCACCGATCTTGCCGGCTTCCGGGCGCCGCGACCTACGCTTGGCGGGCCGCCGGGATCTGCGGCGGCGGAGGTGCCGCCGCCTCCCCCGCTCGGCCCGCCGCCGGGCTTTGCGGCCGCGGCGGCCGTGTGCAGCTCGGGCAGCGATCCTGGGCCGGAGCCGGCGGCGGCCAGCTCCAAGTGGGGGCAGTGGTCGCCGGCTGCTGCGTGGAGCTCGTCGGGGGCGTCGAGCAGCGGAGCGGCAGCGGCTGCTGCAGCGGGCCCGGGTGGGGCGGCTGCGGCGGCGGCCCCAGCCGCGGACCCCGCGGCGGTGCCAGTCTTGCGGCGGCACCCGGCCCAGGTGGCCGAGCAGTGGGCCCCTGGGGCTTGCCCAGTTCTGCTGGAGCAGCACCCTGTGGCAGCGCCGGCTCCCCCGCCTGCGCGCTGCTGTGCCTGGTGCGGGTGCCCCCTCGTGCGGGAGTTCGCCTGGCCCGTCGTGGGCGGGGACTTCGTGGTGCCCGCCTGCGAGCTGTGCTACCAGCTCGCGCTGGCGCGGCAGCGCGCGCACCATGCCGTGCTGACGCCGGGCGAGCGCCTGGCGATCCTCCCGCAGGCGCGGCAGGTGACGGCCATCGTCGCCGCAATACTTGGAGCGGCACTGCGTGCTGGCTGGACCTCGCTGGCGCCCTCCGTGCTCTGAAGAGCGTGAACTCTCGTGGGATTCAGGCGCGGCCGTGCTCAAGTTGCCGTGCCCTCCGGGGTGCTCAAGGACGACCCGTTCCACGCCGAGTCCGTGAGGTGCAGCTTGCCGGGGATTTCGTTCCACGTGGAGGTCGTGGCATGGCTGCTCGGCCACTTTGCCGCGAAGTGGGGCTACCTCAAGAGCGCCGCGCCCGTGGGGCTCATCCGCCAAGGAGGTGCCCGTTCCGCCGACAACACATTTTGCGCCGCGCGCGGCTTCGCGCCCGAGCAGGCGCTCGTCGTGGACGTGCTGCGCTCCGTGTCCACCGAAGGCAGCGACGTCCAGGTCTCGACGGGCGAGCTCTTCAGCCCTTCATGCTGGCCCAGTTTGCCGATGCCTGCAGACCTATGGAGGTGGGCTGTTGTCCTGCAATTTTCGTGGCAGGAGAGCGCGCGCGTCAACGAGCTGAGCTCGAGATGCGCGCGTTCCTGTCCGCTCTTCGGTGGAGGCTCCGGGCAGAGAAGGACCTGGATGCTAAGGTTTTGCATCTACTTGACAGTTCGATCAGTATTGCTGTGCTGACTAGGGATCGTTCGGGAAACCGCCAACTCAACCGTGTCGCTCGCAAGATATCAGCGCTGGAGCTCGCCTCAGGAGCAGCTCCCATCCTCGGGTTCTGCCGCAGTGGGGGCAATCCTGCGGATGGGCCCAGTCGCAAAAAAGCCAGGCATGATTAGGCGGTTGAGAGAGTACCCAGACAGAGCGAGCAGGGCCCAGGCGAGGTGAAACCTGGACCCTTTGCGGATGCAGAGAGTGGCGCTCCCGACGAGAATTTGCTGCCGCAGAGCGGCGCTGATGTTCATGAATTCTGTCTTGCGCCAGGGCTGGCGCCTGGCTGTCGACGCTGCTCAGATGGATGAGCACATCTGCAGTTTCATCGAGCACCTTTGGATCGATGGCGAGGGCCGCAACGTCTGGTGATGCGTTTAGTGGTGTTAGATTTCACCATGGATGCAGACGTGTCTTCCCTACGCTTTGGGATTTGTTCAGGGTGTGGGGCAGGATCGAGATGCCCCAGCGGGCGCCGCCGATGTCGGTCAACATGTTGTGCGGCATCGCCCATTACCTCTGGCTGTCCAACTGCCAGGGCGCAGCGATCCTGGTGGTCGTGGCATTTCCATGCCTGCTCCGGACTGGCGAGATGTTCGGCATCAAAGCTGAGCATGTGGTCATTGGGCCAGATGGCCGAGGGGTCATCGCGGTGCCGTGGGCCAAGAGCGGAGCGCGTCGCGGTGCCCGAGAGATGGTCGCAGTGGATGGCCCGACCATTGGCCGCGCGCTAGCTTTCCTCAAGCAGCAGCGCGGGAGAGGGCTGCTGCTGCTGGGCACTCTGGCGCAGTTCCGCCAGCTGTTCGAGCGCGCGTGCCAGGACACCGGCCTGGGCGCCCTGCTGCTCAAGCCGTGCAGCCCGAGGAGAGGCGCCGCCGCGCGCGACGTGTGCGCGCGCGGCGAGCTGCAGAGGACGATCCACAGAGGCCGCTGGTCGGATGCCCGGACAGCAAGGATCTACGCCAACGATGGCCTCGCGCTGCTGGCGAAGCAGGCCGTCCCCGCTGCGGGCGCGAGGGCGCTCGACGCGCGGACCGCGCTCTTGGCGCGTCTCCTGGCGTCGCTGTAAGACAGCGATGGTGTCTCTCAAGTGAGAGGAACTCCTGGTCTGGAGGCGCGCCTAGGGGGAGGCTAGCATTGCCCCCGCCGGGTGGCGGCGCTCCGCGCCGACCGCGCCCTCCCTCCAAGACCGCCGCCAGACTAAGATTCCCCATTCGTCGCGTCGAGAACAGGAGAACCCGCTGGGGGTTCCGCGGAGGGAGGGGTCCTGTGACCCCCCTCTTGGCGCGGAGGCTTTTCGGCCCTCCGACGGGACCTTGCCTGGGCAAGGGTCCGTCGGACGTTCCCCCCCTCTCAGCTGTTGCTTTTGCGGGTGGCTTCGAAGGGGGGGGTCTCCGCGCCGTTTGGAGGGCCGCAGGGCCCCCCCCTCCAAGGAAGCCCCCGCGGGCTCCGCAGCCCTCAGTCTCACCTGCTCCCGCCCCCTTCTTAGCCTTCTAAGATGTCTCCCCTGCCCCCGGTTCTCCTTGGTCCCCCGGCGGGGCCGGGGGGTCCTGCGTGCGGGTCCGGGGTGGAGGGCCTTTGTGGGCTTCGCTCTCCGCTGGGCTCCCTTTGGGCAGTGGAGGTCTTTTAGGGCCTTGTGAGTAGTTCTGGAATTCGGTTTCGCCCCCTTTTGAGCGTTCGGCACGCCAGAGGGGGGTTGCGTGGGAGGGCCCCCCTTCCGAAGATCCCCCATCTGGAGCCCTCGAGAGTGCCCGCTGTGTCCCGGGCCCCCATGGGGCCTTTGGGATTCGGCTGGTGGGTGAGCTGGCTGGGCCGTTTTTTTTTTTTTTTTTTTTTTTTTTTTTTTTTTTTTTTTTTTTTTTTTTTTTTTTTTTTTCTCTTTTCTTCTTCTTCTTCTTCTTTTTGTTTTTTTTCTTTCCGGGGGGTGGGTGGGGCCCCAGGGCCGTGTGGTTTTGAGCTACCCTGGCTCGCCTTCAAAAAAGGCATCTCCCCCTTCCACGACTATTGTTATAAAATTTTTACTTTAGTCGCGTGGGGGAGTGAGCTCCTGGGCAGGCCGCTGGGGGCCTCCAGGGCCCCCCCCCGCCCTCTTGCTCTGCAGCAGCTTTGGCCCCCCCGCGACCTCCTGGGCCCCCTGCGCCCCCGGCCCACGCGCGGCCCCTGGGGTTCGGCAGGTGGGTGCGCTGGCTGGGCCCCCTCGGGCTTGTGGGTTTTTTTTTCGGGGAGGTGGGGCCCGGGGGCCGTGTGGTTTTGAGCTGCCCTGGCTTGCCTCCGAGAAAACCCCCCCCAATTGACGAATATGAATATGAATATAAATATGTGTGTATGTATGTATATATCTATTTATATATATATATATGCATATCAAGTTATTGTGCGTGTATACATCAGGGTGGCAAAGTTGCCCCACAAGTGCAAGTGGCATTGCAGTGCAATGTCAGGGGCCATTTTAAGAATCGACAATATGATAGCGTGGCGGTTCGCCTAAAGCGAGTGCTCTTCACCAACATTTCCAGGGGCTTACCGCAGTGCGTTAACGTGCTACTGCAACGATGTCCAGCCAGGCTTTCGCATCAACGGGTCCGCCAACACTTCTTTCGATGTCCAGGACACCTCCGGCAGCAATCGTGGTCGTTGCAGGCAGTATTTGGTTGCAACTAGATTCGCCCTCTCGTTCGACGGGGGTCGCGTTTGATTTCTGGCTAGACGCCAGTGGCCTCGAGGCGTGCGTTCGACGAAGGCGGGGGCGAACGAGATGAATGCGCGATGACGCTGCGCGATTGGTGCCGGGATCTCCTCTCTACGGAGCACCAGTGCGTAGAATCAGGTGCCTTTGCTGAACAGCTTCCGCCGACGCGGTATTCGTGTCGCATGAGAATAGAGGCAGCATTTCTGCGCAGAGCCCCCTTCCTTTATTTACGCGGTCATTAACAGAGTGACGCCCTGCCATCGGACCAGCGTTCTGTTGTTCACTTGATTTCTCCGTCAACGACTCTGATGTTTATGAGCGGGGTGAATGTGATCTAGATTCTGATGAACACGGCCGATGCGTCAAACTATGCTTCGCCGACGGTATGGCCCAGGTGGTGCTGGGAGGGCCCTCGGCTCGAGGCCTTGCAACCGGGTGATCTGGCCATTGTTTGCGATTAGGTCTTGGCCGAGGTCAAGCGCGCTGTCGTAGTTGAAGAAGATGAGTTACTGGCCAAGCAGGGGGCCGCCAACGACCCGAGGCAAGTGGCCTCGGCGCTTCTGGCGGAGCTCAGTGCGTTGTTGGAAGAGCGGTGGTTTGCCGCGGACCTGTTCGAGGGCTGAAATGTCACGGCGTCGAGATACGAGTGCAAGGGGGAGGTTCGCGAAGGCCGACCTGGTGGAGACGCGGGGGCTGCGCGGTTTCATTGGCGAAGCAGCTGTCTCCGTGGAAGCCAGGTCAGGAACGGCGCGACGTGCGTTCCAGCGCTTGTTGGCTAGTGAAGCAAACGCCGCTGGTGAACAGGAGCGCGCCGCGTGCTTGGCTCTGCTTCCAGGGAATGCTGTTTTGCTGCGTGCATTGCCATGTTTTGAGGACCACAATGAATCGGGGCGCGGTTTGACATGTTTCAACCCTGGCGCAGGTGCCAGGGGTGCCCCGGGCTTTTTCTTTGAATGACCACGGATGACATTGCCTTCGAATCCATGTCCGACGACCCCGAATTTCAGGCCACGAAGGACTTGCTCACAGCACGGTATCAATGTGTGTCGGAAGGAACCGCGCGTGGATGCTTTTGTCGAAGAAGGACAGTCGGCATTCGGCAAGTGCAAGTGAAACAATCGCACCGACTTGAACAGTGCTGTTAGATAGACAGAGACGGAGAATATGGACGTGGTCATGGACCAGAGCGAATACACGAAGAAACGTTTTGCCACATTTTTCGCCCCCGTATTATTGGAGCTTGACCAGGTGCAAAGGCTCGCAATATTGTTGGTGACCTGGTTGTCAGCCTTCGGGTTGCGTTCGCATTCTCTGGCCCTGCGCATTTTTGGATTATGGTGCGCGTTGCTCCATTGTATCGTATTCAGAAACATACCGCCATGCAGTTTAGACGTCTGAGCGTCTTTGCCCGCGAGCTGCTGCAATGACCCATGAAGGTCACCTACATGACTCCTGATGGCACCGTTGAGCTACACAGCGACACTTGGTGTAGGAGGTCCACTGGTGAGGAGGGCGACGGGCCGAGGACTGCGGCCTTCGAGGTTGCGGCTTGCTGCGTCGTGGAAGCGCGAGCAGGAAGGAGGATGTCGTGCGCGGTTCCGACTGCCGCTGCAAGTTTTGTCGCCTCCAGGTGCGGCCCAATTGCGGCGCTGCCGAGGCATTTGCCGCCGCTCACGCCTACGCGCATGTTGCCCAATATTGATGGCCGTACGTGAGCTCGACAGGGGGTTATTGGCTCCTTTTGAAGTCAAGCGCCTCCGTGAGCACGGGGGTTTCTGTTCCCGAGTATCCCCGGTGATTGATGCCGAATCGTCGCGCGTATCTCTTTCCAGCAAGGTTCTCGAGACGTCTGCTGAGGGGTTCTCTCGACCTCGGCGTCGTCGATGCGGCGTTGGAGACGTGGCCGCGGACGGCTGCGCCGATGACATCGACCGTGGTTGACTTCCTCAAGTTATGGCTGGTTAACAGGGCTGCAAGCATGATATTCAGACATCTACTCTGTTGCGCGGCAATGAGCCTCCTATCGCCGACGAGTGATCACCGCGGCGTCTCGCGCGCCTTGACGTGCCCGAATTATGAATATGCAGCCGCGCTGTCCGTGAAGAGGGGGGTGCCCTCTGGCTGGCCCCCTGCCGAGATGTCGCGGTGCCGCGCCTGCTCGCTCGCGGCGCGTTTCCGGGCCCATTCTCGCGCCCTTTTCTTTCGAAATCACGAACATGTTCAATCTTGTGTGTGCCGATCTGTTTTCAGCCTTGATCGGTCACCTCTTGGGCTTTCTGGGCCGCCTGTGGCCCGTCCTGCTCGAGCTGTATTTTGCAGCCTGTCTCTGCCGGGCGCGTTCTGTCGACGGGATGCTGGGATCGTGGAAACATGGCTCCAGCCCGCGGCATTTCCGTTTTTGCGCGCTGCGTCGGTGGTCCAAATTTTCGACTGCCGATGTCTTTTGCTTGTGGAAGGCTTGCCGTGGGCCCGCCTGCGCGGTGGCGGCGGTCGAGCTTCCGCCCCCCCTCGACATTGAGGAATGCTCCGAGGGGGCATTCATGCAATGCGTTCCTCGTGCCGCTGCCGCTTTGGCTCGCGGCAGCGTTGCCCCGTCTGCCTGCGCCGCCCGCGACGTATCATGTGCGGCGGCCTGGGAGGGCCAACGGCCTTTGGTCTTCCCCGTGCTACCACCACCGCCATCGTTTTCCGTCACCGACTACATTTTTTATGAGGTCGTTCAGGTCTTTTTGGGTCATTTTGGGGCCTTCTTGGGCCTTACTGGGGTTGTCCTTTGCCGCCGGAGGGGGCTTCTCGGGGTGTTTAGTTGGCTGTTTTGGCCTCTCTTTGGTTCGTCGCAGGCCTTGTCGGAACCACCTTTAACTGAGGAGTCCAGTGGGCGCAAAATATTCAGAAACTTCGGGGCTTGTCCAGGTATTCGAATACTCTCGACCTTCCTGGAGAGCCTCCTCGCCTTCTTTGGGATGTATTCGGATCTTCTGAAGGCTCCCTTTGGCGCCTTTCGGGGTCTTCTCGAAGTCGGTTGGGTGCGAGCCAACTTCGGGTTGCATTGGCTGCCTTGGCGGCCCGCCAGGGCCGTCTCGGGAAGGGGTGGCTGGGGTTGAGGGGGTGGAAGGACGGCCTCGGGAAGATTTATGGAGCTCCACCAAGCATGGCAGCAGCATGTGGCGTTCTACCACGCCTGATCGTGTCAGGGGGCACAAAGCGGATAGCGCGCAGGTGTCGTCGTGCGATATTTCTGTTCGTGGACATGTGAAATCCGACATGTCAGGCGTTTGGGAGTGTCAGACGACCACGGCATGTGCAGGTTAATTTCAAAATGGGCAGCCACTGGATCTCGTATCGTGCGAATCAGCGTGAGGGAGGGTCGGAAGGGAACACGGGCATCCGCGTTCTGTTGTTCGCGTCGGTGCCATGATACATCGGCCATTGATTTGTATTCGAATCGACGCATGTTATTCAGTAGCAAAAGCGACCAGCCATGACATACTTGCATATAGTGGGTGCCGTGCACCCGACCAAACAGCGTTCACAGGGAAAATCGAGGTTTACTTCTAGTTTTGGAGTTTGTCGACGCTGGCTTGGCGAGTCCAGACCCAATGCCTGCTCAGCGTGAAGATGAAGAGTTCGAAGGGAAGGAGTGTTGAACGAGGGCGAGGACGAAGGGACAGGTGGAGAGGGATGGGGGAGGAGGTGGAGGAGGAGGAGGAGGAATAGGAGGAGGAGGAGGAGGAGGAGGAGGAGGAGGAGGAGGAGGAGGAGGAGGAGGAGGTGGAGGATGAGGAGGAGGAGGCGGAGGAGGAGGGGCAGGATTAAGAGGACGTTGCACGGCGGAGGAGGAGGGGTTGCATTTCTGTTCTTGCAAAAGAGGAGGTTTAGAGCGGGGAAGATAGCATGTGGATGAGCAGGAGGAGGAGCAGGAGGAGGACGTGGGAGGAGCGATGGGATGAGGAGAAAGAGGAGGATACGAGAGCGGAAAGGGGAAGAGGATCCGCTGTCCTACCTCTTCTGCTCGCGTCAGAGCCTTGCCGATGCGAGCCTCAGGCTGAAGCCAACCCCAGCAGAACCAGCGACGGTGAGGAAACAGATCGAGTGCCCCCGCTGGCCGGCAAGCCCAGACGGGATCGGTATACATTTGTGATGATTAATGTGGTGATAGTGGCGGTGGTTGTGAAGGCGATGGTGCTGATTACGAAAAGTGGTGGCGGGATCATGGTGACCGTGATCAGGACCGTGATCAGGGCTTCGTGAAAAGGGTGCGCCTGACAGATGGCTTCCGCGTCGTCGTCCTCCTCCACCTCCTCCTGCTCCTCCTCAAGCTGCACGAATGGATTGCACAGGTGCCACTGTGAGTCGCCAGTGTGTGGCCTGTGCCAGTACGATTGGCAGTGTAAGTGGTCAGTGCCAGCGTGAGTGGCCAGTGAGGTACTACTTGAGCGACGAGAACCTCAAGTACGACAAATTCTTCAGTGAGAAAATGTGGGGGCGGGGAAGTGCTCGAAAAAATGTCGGATGAAACCAACAGGTTTCTTCACAGGTGCAGGCCTATGTTGATAAGAACTCGTGGGTTTTGGGAGGTTTCGAGTTCTTTGGGCAGTTAGAGGAAGAGGGGTGGAGGGATATACGTCGAGATATGGAGAGGCAGAGATACGTATAAAACGAGAGAGAGAGAGAGAGAGAGGAGAGAGAGAGAGAGAGAGAGAGAGAGAGAGATAGTGAGACAGAGAGGTCGTGGTAACATCGTCATGTCCGATCGTGTGTTGTCAGACGCGTCCAGACGGCGTGGGCAGCGCCGTTTTGAGCAAGCGAACGCAGTGGGTACGCTTGTAAGCGAGTCGGACTGGTCTGGGCGGAGCCTGCTCTGGGAATGTGTGGAGGGGTACGGGGTCGCCGCGTGGATGGGCTTGTGGCAGGGCTGCAGACAAGGATGGGTGGCTTGACGTGAACTTAGTGCTCAGCTGCAACAAGATGAAGGCAATGGCCGCCACCAAGGAGGACGCCGCTCGGGGCGCACATGGGAGGCCCGACGAGACCGCACGTCGTGTGGCCCTGCGCCGGTGGCAGGCGAAGAGGCGGGGGATAGGGGGTGGCGGAAGCGGAGGCGGATCAGCAGGAGGAGGAGGAGGAGGAGGAGGAGGAGGAGGAGGAGGCGGAGGCGGGGGAGGAGGAGGATGATGATGATGATGATGAGGAGGAGGAGGAGGAGGAGGATGAGGAGGAGGAGGAGGAGTTGTGGAGGAGTGGTGGATGAGGGGACTCATGGGGGGGGCATGATTGGGGGCGAGGAGGAGGGGAGGGGGGAGGACGTAGTAGTAGGGCCCCGGAGCCCCTGAACTTGCCGGAATCACTAAGGCAGGTCTGCCGTGGCTGGTGTTTTCCGGGTGACGGCAGTTCCGGCTAGTGGAACGGGGCCTGGGGGGCGCCCCCCAGTACACATCACTAAACCAGGTCCCACTAAACCCAGTTCTGCAAACGCCCGAATAGGGGAGGAGGAGGCTGAAAAGGGAACGCAAGAGACCAGGTCGGCGTTATCGAGCGCAAGTGCGTTCGTTTTTTGGGCGGGGGTGGATTGAGTTGGGGCGGGCGGGGTGGGGTGGAGGGGCATGCGGCTCTCCCGCCTGGTCCAAATCTGCTCAAATCGGTCCGCGGACCCCTTCCAGGGTCCATCGGGGGCCTTCAAACGGTGTGGTGACCAAACCGTGCGGTGAGTCGGTGGGCATTCGGGGTCACTGCACGGTTTTGGGACTCGAGTCCCTCTCCGAGGACGTCTCCGGCGACAGGGGCCTCCGGGGTCCCAAGACCGTGCGGTGAGGGACCGTGCGGTGAGGTCTTGGGGGATTTCGAGGTCACCGCACGGTCCGTCACCGCACCATTTCGGGACTCCAAAGTCCATCCTGACTTGATTTTTTGTCTCGGATCGGGCCGTGGTGAACGAGAGACCTCCAGGAGGCCCAGAAAGGACCAAAGAAAGGGAGGATCGCCGTCGTCTCGACTGGCCCTCCTCAGAATCGCGCGCTCGCCCGCGCGTGCGGCAGATTTTTTTGCCCAGACGTGTGCCTCCTGTGTTTCGGCGGTGAGGCGCGAGTCCAGAGAGACTGGCGACCAGACCCGTGCAGGGGAGCACGACCGCGACCGCGACCGCGACCGCAACCAGGGCGCAGCGGGGGCACCTTTGCGCAAGCACGACGCCAAGGACTGGGACAGAACCAGGGAGCGCTACTGGGACCAGGACCACGACAGTGGCAGGGGCACAGGGAGCACCGCCTGGCGCCAGCCATAACCACGCAGCTCTTACCACAGGGATGATCGCCGCCACCCCGACCCCAGCCGGACGCGGGCAATCTTCCGCGTCGGCTGGCAGCGCCGCCCACACGAGACAGCAGTCGCACACCTGAAGAGGCTGCAGGCGGAAGGGGGATACCACTTCAACGCAGCCTGGCATTCGTGGTGCAGGCATATGTGTAAGGCATATTTGTAAGGAGCAGGGCAAAGGCAAATCCAAAGACCAGGTCCATTTTGACCCGAACCGCTGGCAGCATTGGATAATTGACAAATTCCTGGAAGACATGAGCACCAGCAACCATCACGTCGAAACGTGGTCCCGCAACACAGGCGTCTACGTAGACTGGGATCGGGAGAAGACCCTGTGCCAGGACGTCCAGAGGAAAAGAGAGGTCGCCAATGGTGGCGGGCGCGGAGGGGACCAGGCGCGCAGCTCCGGGTACAACGACAGCTGGACTGGAAAGCGCCCGCGGCGCTGACCAGCCGGCGACCTGACCTCCTCGCACTGTCGCAGCACGACGCGACCGCCTCCACCTTCCCACCACTTGTGCCCCCTTCCCCCACCGTTTTCACCTGACGTGGGACCGTGTGTCCTCCTTGTCCCCCCCACCTGTACCCCCACTGCACTTGTGGCGAGCACGCCCGATGAGCAGCGACTGCTTGCTGGTTCACCAGGTCTCCGACTGTACCTACTCCTCCCTCCCCCCTCACCTGTCTTTACATGTTCTGGGACCGTGTGTCCTACCTGTACCCATCGGGGCCCGTCCCCCCATGTGAGCACCTGCGGTGCGGACTGGCACGACGACGGGTGGCGTGGCGCGCCCTGTCTTCTAAATGTTCTGGGACCGTGTGTCCTACCTGTACCCGTCGGGGCCCAGTCCCTCACGTGAGCACCCACTGTGCGTGCTGACGCGACGACGGCTGGCGTGGGACGCCGGCCTCTCTCCTCCCTGTTCGCTTCTTCCCCCTCCGCTCGCTTCCCCCCCTCCCGTGGCGGCAGCGCCCGGCGCTGCGCGGCTTCGGCCCGGTGCTGGGCGCTGCACCTTGCCGCCTCGGCGGCCCGCTCGCCATGGCGCTGCGCGGCTCGGGCCTGGCCTTCGGCCATGTGGACGTCAGCGCATCGTGTGTGGCTGCTGCCCATCTTCACGCGCTGGCGGTGCAGGACAGATTTTCTTCCCGCGCTCCACCGACGTCCTGTCGGACAAGGACGGCCCTCGTCTGTGGCCGCACCTCAAGCAGGCTGCTTCCTGGCCGTGATTGGACTACCACCCCGGGCCGCATCCGCATCACCTGGTGGCACAACGTTGCACATCGCCTTCGTGGTGTTCTTCTTCCTCCTGGGCCCCCTCCGCATCATCTGGTGGCACACCGTAGCTCATCGCCTTCGTGGTGCTCCTCTCCCTCGTGGACGTCGATCTGGTCAAGTGGCACGTCCTCCTCTGCAGTGCTGGAGGCTGGTGTTCGCGACGCGCCGTTGACGGCAACACCATATCGCTCGCCCTCCGGGTCTTCGCTTCCGGTCCTTGTCCGCGGCGTACTCTTTCCTGTGCAAGCTCTCCGGCGCCGCCTGCACCCCGGATTCCCCCCGCTCCTGCCGCCTGAGGCCCCGCCCTCCTGTGCCTTGTCTCCCTAATTACCTGGGAAGCAATCAGTGACCCACCCCCCCCGCCTTCGCCAGAGGAAATTATACGCTTCCGGCGCCGGGGCCGGGGCGGAAGCGATATCCCCCGCAGGTCACCAGAGGTCCGCGGAGGGGAGGTCCCCGGAGGTTCCCAGGAGGCATCCAGAAAGGCCTCCACAAACCTCTGAATGCCCGGTCCCCTTGTAGTCCAGAGCCCAGCGACAAGGCACGCCTGCCCAGAGTTGTTTCCTGTGATTTTGTGCGTTTCTGTGAGATTCCTCAGAGATTCCTTTGATACTCCGATTGGCTTCTTTTGAGATTCCTTGCCGTTTCCATTGTGATTCTTTTGGGACTCCTTTGAGACTCCTCTGGTGTTCCTTTGATGTTATTCTGGGGGTCCCTTGAGGTTCCGGTCATATCCCTTTGATGCCCCATCGCTTAAGGGAACATCACATCGACATCCGGGGCCGGTGGATTATTTTATTTTCAATAAATGTGCTAACATATCGCGGGGGGGTTCGCGGAGTCCGTCTGCGATATCTCTCCGTGGACTCTCCCATAGGATCCCCTGAAAGAATCAATTTCCCTAGCGCGGTCGCAATAGGGATTGCTTATGTCCACGCGAGCCCGCGTTTCCCAAATTCCTTCGATTCCTTCGTGGTTCGTTTGAGCTGCCGCTGAGATGCCTTTGGGATTTCTGTTGGGCTCCTTTGACATTGCTTTGAACTTCCATTGGTTCCTTTGATATGAGAGAGCGTGATCCACGGCCGCTTTACTGTGGAAAATTGCCAACTTTTTCCTCCGGAGCCCGGGGGTCTCCCCCCCCTCCCTCCGAAAATCCCCCCCCCCCCTGCTGGAACCCCTCCCCCCCCCCCTCCCTCCCGGCAAAACCGCTCCCCCTCCCCTAACCCCCTCCCCCCCCCCCCCCCCACCCCCTCGAAAGCCGGGGGGGGTCACTACCGTTCGAACCCTTTTCCCCCCCCCCCTTCCGGATCCGGAAAACCGGGGGGGTCACTACCGGTTGGAACCCCCCCCCCCCTCCCCTCGAAAACCGGAGAGGGGTCACTACCGGTTCGACCCCCCCCCCAACCACCGCCAGCAAACGACTCCCAGTCCCTACCACCGCTCGCATGACATCCCCCACTGTTGTTCCCAGCACCACTGTCCTCACCACCACTGCCCCCGCTGGTTCAACCACCGTCCGTATTGTCCCCACCAGTGCCCCCACCACTGTCGCACTGTCCCCACTGTTCCCACAACTGTTCCCACCACGGTTCCACTCTCCCCACTGTCTCCACGGACCCAACCACTGCCTATCCCCACTGTCCCCACTGTCCCACTGACTCCTCCGCTGTCCCACTGAGCTGTCCCACTGTTCCCACCACTGTCCCCATTGTCCCCGCCACTGTCCCCGCTATACCTCTGTCCCATTGTCCCACCGCCGTCCTCGCCGACGCCTTTACCAGTGTCCCCACCACCATTGTACCCTCCACTGTCCCAGTGTTTCCACCTCTTTCCCACTGTCCCCACACCACTGTCCCCACCACCACCGTTCCCACCACTGTTCACTGTCCCCCCTGTTCCCACCATTGTCCCCACCACTGTCCCCACCACTACCGTCCCCACCGTTGTCCCACTGTCCCCCCGCTGTCCCCACCACTGTCCCGCTGTCCCCTCACCACTGTCCCCACCAACACCGTCCCCACCACTGTCCGCACCCCCACTCGGTTTTCGAGGGGGGGGGGGCGGGTTCGAACCGGTAGTGACCCCCCCCCTTTTCATGATGAGCTGGGGGGGGGGGGGAGGGGTTCGAACCGGTAGTGACCCCCCCCGGTTTTCCGGAGGGGGGGGGGGAGGGGTTCGAACCGGTAGTGACCCCCCTCGGTTTTCCGGCAGCAGCGGTAGAACACGCTCTTTCTTTGATATCATGCGTCGGATTCTTTGTGATATTCTTCACGCTTCGCGTATCCCCACCAGCCCATCTCAAAACAGCAACTCTTGCGAAGCATGCCGACAGTCGTGTTTGTCAGGCGTGTTTCCGCCTGCCCCCGCATATCTCCCCTGTTCCTCCTTCCTCCCGCCTTCTTGTACATCCTCCTTGTGGTGGGAACGGGAGAAGGACGAGGCGGAGGAGGGGGGGGAGAAAACGCTCCTCGTGGTTTGAGTCGTTTGGGGTTTCTCGTCCTGGTGTGAGTCGTTCGGGCCCTTCTTCCTGGTGTGAGTCGTTCGGGCTCTTCGTGGTGTGAGTCGTTCGGGCTCTTCGTCCTGGTGTGAGTCGTTCGGGCTTCTCGTGGTGTGAGTTGTTCGGGCCCCTCGTCCTGGTGTGAGTCGTTCGGGCCCCTCCTCCTGGTGTGACTCGTTCGGGCTCCTCGTGGTGTGAGTCGTTCGGGGCCCTCGTCGTGGTGTGAGTCGTTCGGGCTCCTCGTGGTGTGAGTCGTTCGGGCGCCTCGTCCTGGTGTGAGTCGTTCGGGCCCCTCCTTCTGGTGTGAGTCGTTCGGGCTCTTCGTGGCGTGAGTCGTTCGGGGCCCTCGTCCTGGTGTGAGTCGTTCGGGCTCCTCGTGGCGTGAGGCGTTCGGGCACCTCGTCCCCTTTTGGGGCGTCTTGGGGGCCTCTTGGCGGCCCCAGGGGGCCTTTTGGGGGCCTCTTGGAGCCTCTTGGGGCCTCTTGGGGCCTCTTGGGGGCCTCTTGGGGGCCTCTTGGGGGCGTGTTGGGGGCCTCGTGGGGCCTCTTGGGGCCTCTTGGGGGCCTCTTGGGAGCCTCTTGGGGACCTCTTGGGGCCTCTTGGGGGCCTCTTGGGGGCCTCCTGGAGGCCTCTCGGGAGCCTCCTGGGGGCCTCTTGGGGCTATCTTGGGGCCTCTTGCGACCTCCTCAGAAGCGCAAATAAGCGCTGACCCCTGAGAAGGACAAAATGAGCCCAAAACCTTCGTAAAATCAATGATTTTGCTAAGAAGGAAGATGAGCGCGGCCCCCTCAGGAGGCCAACATGGGGCCAAAACCGTAGTAAAATCAATGTTTTTGGCTTCACAGACGAGTTGAGGCGCCAAACTGCCTCCCCCCCCTCGGGACCAGAATCCTCGTGAAGGTCGTCGTTTTTTGGCCCTCCCAGGAGTCGAAAAAGACTCCCCTGACGACGCTCGGGACTCCCTCTCCAGGCCCAGGGGTAGGGGGTAGGGGGAGGGGTAAACCCCTCCCCGAAGGGGAAGAAGGGGGGGTGAGGACAGAGCGGGCTCTCTAAACCACTCACGCCCAAAGGGCTGGTGGGATTCTTCTGGGATTCCTTTGGGGGTCCTTTCAAGTTCCTCTGACATTCCTTCGACAATCCCTGAAGGGAACATCACATCGACCTCCATTGCCTGTGGATCCTTTTATTTCCAATACATGTGCTAACATATCGCGGGGGTTTTCGCGGAATCCGTCAGCGATATCCCTCCGTGGACTCCCATAGGACCCCCTAAAAAATCCACATTGCGGTCGCAACAGGGTTTGCTTGTGTCCACGCGAACCGCGTTTTCCAGATTCCTTAGATTCCTTCGTGGTTCGTTTGAGCTGCCGCTCAGATCCTTTTGCGATTTCTGTGGGGTTCCTTTGAGATTACTTTGAATTTCCAATTGGGTTCCTTTGAGATTCTGCGTGGGCTTCCTTCTGAGATTCCTCTAGGATTCCTTTGGGGGGTCCTTCCAAGTATAGTTGCTTGCGGTGATTTCATTGCTTGTCATTTATGAGTTACCTCTGATTTCCGATGCGCGTCAGTTTCCCAGGGTTCTAGCAAGGCGGGAACCCATTGGCAAGCGTTCGTGCGCATTGGTTCTTCAGGCTGTCGCCTCACGTTGCCGCCAGCTTCGGGCCCGGGGGGGCATTTTTTTGTTTTTATTAAAAAAGAAACAAAATCATGTGGCAACGATATCGCCGGAGGGCGCCGCCCAAAATAATTATTTATTTATTTTTTTGTGCTAACGATATCGCCGGGGGGTTTACTGTTTGCTTCCCGGGGTAAAAGCTGTGCGTCGCACGCCTAGCTTTAAACGGAACAGGTTCGCTCTCGCCCCGCCGACCAATAAAACGTGTGCCTCCTGTGTTGGCTTGTGCTTCATCCGAGACGTCAGGTGTTCACAGGAGGCTGGGTTTTTTTTTGGAGCGCAGCCACCCCGCCCTCGCGCCGACGATCACCAGAAACCACCGAGGACCGCCGAGGACCGCCGCAGACCACAGGAGACCGCCAGAGACCGCCGAAGAATTTCTGGGAGACCCGACCCCAGGCTATTGGAAACCTTGTGAAGCGCTCCCCTCCTCCTTCTCCTCCTCCTCCTCCTCGTCCTCCGCCTCCTCCTCCTCCTCGTCCTCCTCCTCCTCCTCCCCCTCGTCCTCCCCCTCGTCCTCCTCCTCCTCCTTCTCCTCCTCCTCCTCGTCCTCCTCCTCCTCCTCCTCCTCCTCCTCCTCCTCCTCCTCCTCCTCCTCCTCCCCCTCTGTCGGGAAAACCGCCCAGAGGCCGATGTGCAGTAAGGGGGGGATGGGGGCCCACGGTCGAGCACGCAGAGCAGATGCCGATGCACAAAGCCCCGGCCCCTCGCCGCCCAGCAGGATGTCATGGCCGCGTTGAAGGACTCCAAGATAGAGGTCAGGGGCAGCGTCTGGGGGAGATACTCCGGGTTTCTCAAAAAGCGTGGGGGGGTCTCCCCCGACGGGGGTGAACCTCGCCTCGTCGTCGCGCCGCGACGGGGGTCTGAGCGCCTTCGGCGCGCGGTGGCTGCCCGCGACGGGGGTCGATGTGGGGCTGTCGGCGGGGGTGACGGCCCCCCGACGCTTATCAAGAGACGCGGAGTAGACTCAGAGGGGGTGGGGATGCATTGAGCCTCAATCACCTATGGATCGGCGGTAGATGCCCAGTAGCCCCCTCCGCCCAGGAGCGTCCAGATGCGCTATCGGGGGCCTGTTGCTGACCTCTCGGCGATGAGCCGACTCCGCCCTGGAGCGTCCGTATTCGCTATCGGGGGCGTGTTGCCGCTCTCTCGGCCATGCGCCGCCGATTCCAGCTCGATGCTTCAGGTTGAACGACCCACGCGCTGTCGTCGTCCGCCTTCGGCGTCGTTGGTCGTCCGCCGTGGTCCTCGACGCCCGCCGTCCGTCGTCGTCGTGGTCGTCGTCGTCGTCGTCGACGTCGACGTCGTCGTCGTCGTCGTCGTCGTCGTCGTCGTCCGACGTCCGACGTCCGTCGTCTGTCGTCCGTCGTCGATGCTTCCCCCCTCGAGCCGGTCCGCCCCCAAACGTTGCCCCTCAGAGGTCCGGGAGGACGGCCTCGCTCTGCGCCGCCCGGGCAACGCGCCGCTCCCCAAGCTCGAGGCGCCGGCGCGCCGGCAGCGAGGGGCGCCCCCGCCGCCGCCGAGGGGCATGAGCCGCGCGAGGTGCTCTGCCGAGGAAGTCTCGACCAGGAAGGCGCCACGGAGGCGCTTTCTGAGAGCAGAGGACCACCCTCGTAATTGAGCACCCCGACAAACGAAGCGGTCTGGGAGACGCAACAAGGGACGGGAAACGAGCAAGACAGGAATGTTCAGTAAACACCCAGGGCTGTTTCGGGAGGGCGAGCCCGCATGCGCCAGAGCCAGACCAGGCACGAGCCCTGGCCTCTCCGAATTGAACCGAAGAACAACCAAACGGCGTGAGCATGATTTCTCGGAGCTCCGTGCGAATTTCTTGGTTCTGCGCTGGAGCCCCCGGTCGGCGCCTCCGGCGCCGCCCATGACGCGCTCCGCGAGCCAGGGAGGGGAGTCCAGCGCGGATCCGATAATTCCGCGCGGACCTAAAACAGTTTCTCTTTCTATCGTTTTCTAATCTTTGACAGCAGGCGTGAGCACTGGTCTCCTCGGAGAGAATACGAGGACGTGGTGTCTGGGCGACGTGAGGGCTGGGTCCGACGGGGGAGTGGGAGTGGCGTGCGGGCTCCAGTTTGCAGGGGAGGCTGGCCACGGCGAGAGAAGAGAGCCGGAGAATTCTCGATAAGCCTGTGCGCATACCAGGACACTGGACATGCGAGTCTTCGCTGCACTGGGGGCGGTCCTATGTCCTCCCTTGACGTCGAGCTGGCAGGAACCCTCTTGTCCACAACCCAAGGCCAAGCACAGGCGTCCAACATGTAGTGGAGGGACAACCTCGGCGGCGAGCCCAGGGGGGAAGTGAGAAGGGGCGGGCCTTCTCAGAAGTCTCGGAGGTCGCCCGGCCTTCTGAGAAGTTTTCTACGCCTTCCCAGAAGTCACAGGAAACTCTCAGAAGGCGCGAGGGCTTCAGTAGTCCCGCCGCCTTCTGAGAAGGCCTTCTCCTTCTCATTCCCCCCCCCCCCCCGCACGCACCCGAACAAAGGTAAAGGCACAGGTAGTTGTACATGGTATTTGGAATGTTACGTGTGCCAGTAAAGGTAGGTCAACACATATAGGTCATGTGCGCGTTCAAGTAGCGCTATCGGTAGGTGTGATGGTACACGCGAAGACGGATTTTGAGCGGACGTGTTCATCTAGACGCGCGTGTATATGTACATGAACACATCATCGTAAGTCTTCGATTTGTAGGTACAATATGGCCGATTATGCATGTATGTATATAGTATATATACACATACATCTATTGTTTCAAGCAGTGCTTACGCGCGAAAACACATATAGCACCCAACACCTGGAACTTCAGATAGCACCGACGATACCCCAACTCACTCAACCTGCGCAGGTCAGATAGCACGTACATGCTACACGAGGAATGCCAGATAGCATAATCGCGAAATCGAGTAGGCAGAAGAGAGAGATGAAAGAGAGAGAGAGAGAGAGCGAGAGAGAAAGAAAGAAAGAACGAGAGAGAGAGAGAGAGAAAGAAATAAAGAAAGAAAGAAAGAACGAGAGAGAGAGAGAGAGAGAGAGAGAGAGAGGGAGAGAGAAGAGAGGGCACCCGCGCAGGCCCAGGCACCTGCTGGCACCCAGAGGGCGCCACATGAGTCCAGCTTCACACAGCCTCCCCACCCCAAGCCCCCGGATGGCCAGCTCCCCGAGCGGGCAGGGCAAAGGGGGGATGGCAGGGACCCGCCCCGTGCAGATAGCACACGCCCCGAGGGGTGGGCGGGGGGAGGGGCACCCCAGACCCCCCCGAGCACCCCTCGCGGAGGCATCCACCCTCTGGCAGCCGAGGCAGGGCCTCACCGCACCCCCGCCCGCGGGCCCCTCGGGCGCCTCCCCGGGCACCTCTGGGGCAGGAGAGACGGCCTGCTGGCACCCAGAGGGCGCCACATGAGTCCAGCTTCTCGCAGCCTCCCCACCCCAAACCCCAGGGTGGCCGACTTCTCGAGCGGGCAGGGCAAGGGGGGGGGGGCGGCAGGGAGCCGCCCCAGGCAGAGAACACACGCCCGGGGGGGGGGGGCACTCATTCCAAGACGCGTTGGAAAGGGGGCCAGGCAGATGGTACAGCGAAGGGGGCTGCGTCGTCCAGGAACGCGGCCCAGGCAGATGGCACACCTCCTGGGTCGCTTTAGCAAGTCCTAAGTGTTCGTTTCTACGTATTATCAGATGTTGTGGATGAAGTTGTAACTTTGCAGTTGATGACGAGGGCCGCGCCCATGCAATGCAACTGTAATTGTGCATGTAAAGGTCGATGAATCCGCAACGCAGGAGGTGACTGCACCGACGCATGTAAAGGTACATCGCCAGACACGGCGCAGCCGTTCTGGTTGTTCAGGTGATGCCACCGTGATGCAGCTGATGTCAGACTGTTGCTTCTCTTGGGCTCTGCAGTTGCACATGATGATTACAAATCTCCTCTCTCCCCTGACCCGGTCCAGAGGATAGTCTCATCTCCGCGTGTTTTTTTCTATCGGATTTGAATTATCGTTCTCGTGAATTTAGAAATGCATTCCGATTCAAAATGGTGCTCCCGCTGCAACGTGAGCATCATTATTGTATCGGCGTTGTCGTTCAGAATGGCGCTCTCGCCCCAGCGCGGGCCACATTTTTGGATCGGAATCCTTTTTCATCGTTGCCATCCCCCGCATTTCCCCTCTGCCTCCTGGTCCTCCTGCTCCTCCCGGCCCTTCCACTCCAGCTCCTGCTGTTCGTCTTCGTCCTCCTGCCCCATACTCCTGATCATCCTCCTGCTCATCCGCCACCTCTCCTCTAATGTATGCAACTCTCTCTCTCTCTCTCTTTTTTGGTTCTCCTCCGACTACGCATAACGCGTCGGCGGATAAAGAGAGAAACATAACACCATGGGAAGGGATGTGTGGGGTGGGTAGGATGCCTGAAATGGCGCGAGAGCGCCTATCTTACCCTCCCCCGGGACCCCCGCCCTCCCCCCCCCTCTTCCCCACCTCTCTCCTCCCCCTCCTCCTCCTCCCCTCCTCCTCCTCCTCCTCCTCCTCTCCTCCTCCTCCTCCTCCTCCTCCTCCTCCCTTCCTCCTCCTCTCCTCCTCCTCCTCCTCCTCCTCCTCCTCCTCTCCTCCTCCTCCTCCTCCTCCTTTCTCGTCCTCCTCCTCCTCCTCCTCCTGCTCCTTCTTCTCCTCCTCCTCCTCCTCCTCCTCCTCCTCCTTCTCCCCCCCCTGCGTGCACGGCGACGTGCGCGCTCCGGATGCCGCGGACCGCGCGGAGGAGCAGCGGACAGGGCTCTTGGGCCCCGCGGGCTGCACGGGAGGAGGAAACGAGCCGGGGACGAGGCAAATGTGAGCGAGGGTTCAGAGGTCGCTGTCGACGTCACGTCCAAGTCGACGAGACGAGTGGGTCTTCCGCTGCTCGCTGCTCCCCTTCGCTTTCCTCCTTCCGATCATTCTTTCAACGTGTGTCAGCCCAGTGCGTGCTTGCCCAATTCTGCATCGCCGATAGCGCGCGCCCCGTGTGTGCCCCCACTTCGGTGCCTGCGTTGCTCTGAAGGGCTTCTGTGGGCAAGCACACGTTGGCGCTAACACACGCTCTGAGGACTATCGATCCGTGGCTCGTCTCGTTCCTCTCCGGCCGCTCGGATCGTCGGGCCTGCGGTCTGGAGGCGGCGAGCATGCGGCGAGGGCGGGAGCTCTGCTCGCTGGGTCGGCTTAGTGTGTGTGTGTGTGTGCTCTGGCTGTGCTCCGGCCGCTCCTGCCGCTCGCGGCGAGCGACGTGTTGCAGCCAGGTGCTGGCCGCTCCCGCCTCCTGCCCCAGCTTCCTGCTCCTCCTTCCGCCCTCTTCCCTTGGTTCTGCTTGTCGCTCCGCGACGCTGGGCTCTCTGAGGAATCCGCCCGCCGGCCATGTCTGCGGGGCCACGGCCTCACCCGCTCCGCCCTAGAGGGGCCTGGGCGATCGCCCGCACGAGCGCCCATCCCGGGGGGTGACGAGAGCTTCTCGTGCGGCGCTTATCGGTGGCCCCCAAACGGTGCGGTGGCCACACCGTTTGGTGAGCCAGCGGGGATCCTGGGTCACCTCACGGTTTTGGGCCTTGGGTCGTTCTCCGAGGATGTGTCGGGTGACTGGGGCCTCCAGGGTCCAAACACCTCGCGGTGAGGTCTTCGGCGGTTCCGAGGTCACCGCACGGTCTGTCACCTCAAAATTGCGGGACCCCCAAGCTTGGCCGTGGGAGATACCGTATCCCTGTCCTCAGTTGTTTTCGAGCCACAACTCGTGCCTCAAGCGGCCGTTCGGGACGATCGGGCACCCGCGGGCGATTCTCGGCGGGGCGCAGCTGCTGCAGAGCATCCCGAGGCGGGAGAGCCGCCGAGCTCCTGCGAGAACGTCCGGAAGCCTCGAGCCTCGAGCTGCTCCGAAGACAAGGTCGCCCTCGGGGCCACGAAGTTGCTCGCGCTTCGTGCTTCGCGGCGCGGCTCCGATCCCTCCCCGTCCTCCTCTTCTCCCCTGGGGGGCGGCGCGAGGGCGCGACGTGGTTCGCGCTCTCGCGCTTCGTTAGGCACGCAGCGCGGAGTCGGGCGCCCGTGGAAGACTTCCATCGAGGGGGTACCCGCCCCGCAGACGCTCCACCACCGAAGGGGTGCGCGGCGTGCCGCCCGTCCCCTCCCGCGCTGGGAGAGGGGCGCCCGCGCACCGCCCGACCGCCTCCGCAGCAGCGGCCCGTGCACCAGAAGAAGAGCTCCATCCACGCCCACGACGGCGGGGTGATTGCGTGCCTGAGCGGCATTCCCGAGGACGGTGTGCCCTTGTCGACGTCGTCGTCGTCGTCGTCGTCGTCGTCGTCGTCGTCGTCCTCGGTTTCGTCCTCGTTGTCGTCGTCGTCGTCGTCGTCGTCGCCCTCGGTTTCGTCGTCGTCATCGTCCTCGTCGTCGTCGTCCTCGTCCTCGTCCTCGCCCTCGTCCTCGTCCTCGTCGTCGTCGACGAGGTCGTTCTCGTCGTCGTCGTCGTCATCAGGTTCCCTCTTACCCCTGTCCCTCGCGTGGCCTCCTGCTCCTGCGGCCCTGCGGCGCGGGGGCCTTTTGCGTGCCCTTCCGGCGGCTCCGGAGGGGGTCTGGCTGGCTGGCCCGATCGGCGGGCCTGGGGCCCGGGGAGAGAGGAGCCTGTTTTTTTTTGTTGGAGGGTCTGGCGACGCCCCGGGTGATCGGGACTGCCCGCCCCCACCCCTCCCCCCCGGATGCGTGACCTGACCTGGTGGCTTTCGACGGTTCGAAGGGGATGCGGAGTATTGGCTCGTGCGGGCATGCGTGGGGCTGCCCAAAGCGAAAAGGTTGGGTTATCGGCCGGCATCTCCCCCCCCCTCTCTATTGTTGTTGGAAATCAAAGGATACTAAGATAGTCTCTCATTTGGAATCGGACCAAGATAACGCGAAATCCTCGGGTTCCTCGAAACCCACGTAGAGGAGAAGAGAACATCGCGCAATTGGGAAACTGATGATTAATCTAGATCCATTGCAATGGGTGTAATATGGGCAGCGGTCCAATACATCACAGCACATGCATCGATCATTGTCAAGTGCAAACCATCACCCTCCCCCCTCTTGGATAATCCGGGCTGCCGCCGAAAAATAAACAAATATCTTGGGGGGGGCCTTTGGATCTCCTTTCCAAGGGGAGCTCCCCATCCGTCCTGGGCCTCCTCCTCGTCCTCGTCCTCCTTCTCGTTCTCATTTTTATTTACCAGCCTGCAGCACAACCCCATCCCTGTGATCGGCATCAGCTTGGCTCGGTGTCGATCTCGAGGATTCACTTTTTTTTTGAGGGGCATCCCTAGGATTGGCTACGTTTTGGGCTGGTCGATCCCAGGGGTAAGGATACAGCCTGCAAAAACAGGTTGGAAACGGACGTGTGCACTTCTCAGGAGGTGGCATATGCCTGCGCATTATATCCAGGACAGCCCCATGCAGTCAGATCGGGCGCTGCACGCACGCCGAGCCGATCTAGGCCAAAACGTCGATTTTTTGTTGCAACGCTTGGCGCACCTGGGCGGCGGCCCCTCCGTGCTCAAGCCATCTGGAGACTTTCCGCCCCCTAACTGAGTTTTAGAATGAGTGAGTGTCCGACGGGTCTCAAAATCAGCATACGAGGTACAAATTGACACGCCAGGTGGTTCCCGACGGCGGTCTCAAGTCTCAAGCGGTCTCAAGCAGTCTCGAAGAGTTTCAAAGTGCCCCGAAATCCTTGGCACCGAACGCATCGGCAAGCCTCACGTGGTCTCAAAGTGCAACAGAACCTTGGGCGCCGAGCGCATCCGCGCGCCCCGCGCGGCTTCTAAGTGCCGCGAAGCAAGCCCTCGGCGCCGAGCGCGTCCACGCGTCTCACGCGGCCTCAAAGTGACACGAAGTCCTCGGCGCCGAGCCCAGTCACGCGTCTCACGTGGTTTTGCAATTCTCGAAATGCAACGAAGCCCACGGCGCTGAGCACATCCACGCGTCACACAGGATCCCAGACGAAACAGTCGGCGCCGAAGATAGGCGGAAGGTTTCTACCCAGCGACATGGTCGACTGGATACGACGTTCCACGCATTACGCCGAGCATCAACTCGCGAAGTTGGGCGCCGCGGACTGGGTTACAGAAGTCCAGCGGCGACGATGGAGATGGGTCTCCCGCGTCGCCGCCCTCTCCAGAGCAGAATGGGCGAATATTGTTTTGCTATGGAATCCAGACCAAGTGCTCCCTCGACAAGCTCATCGACGGCAAGGGCGGCAGAAAAAACGATGGTTAGATGATCTTTTGGCACATTTCAGAACACATGTTCGTGAAGACACAGCAACTCTGAACGACATGCTGGAAGCAGCCCGCACGCCCAACTGGGCCACATATGAAAGGTCGTTCTGTGAGTGAAGGCTTCCCCACATGATGATTGTTGTTTTCCACTTTCCCCGCCTCCTCCTCCTCCTCCTCCTCCTCCTCCTCCTCCTCCTGACCCGGCTGCCGCGCAGACCGACGCAACTGTGCGGCCAGGCGTCGTTTTCTTTCCGCCGTCTTCCATGTTTCACATGTGGCTGGCGCCCCGGTGCCAACTTGCCGGGCCCTCGCGGCTCACCCTGGCAAGGCCGATTCCGCTTCCGATTCCGATTCCGACATGGTCGCAGTGAGTTCCGCAGCGTCAGCCAAGTCCGCCAAAACCAGAAACAACATACGCAGGGAGCCCAGGAGGGATGACACCAGCTGCCCACAAGAATCCTGGCGCCCAGCCACCGCGATTGGGGCGCGCCTATGTAAAGCCGCGTGCATGCGGTACACGGGGGGCCAGGCAGCCCCACCAGATCCGGACAGCCCCGTCGCCCTGTCCACACAATGTGCCCAAACCGCATGGGTGCATGGGTTCGCCCTGTCTAAGGAGACGGAATCCATGCACCGACGTGGTCGGTGAGCAGGGGGAGCCCCCACAGGACATTCGATGCTGATTAGGCATATTTGCAATGGACTGCGGTGCATCGGCTCTTGGAAGTAACGCTGTGCATGTCTTCCCAGGGAGGCAAAGGCACCGCCCGTGGCGCCCTGGGGCGCGCGAGTAGTGATGCCCTGCGCGCCTATTAGCGAGGAGCTTGGCTGCTTAAGGGGTTGTTTAGCGTTGGAAAAGTCATGGGTGTGCATGGGTTCCCTTCCCCGAGATCTCATCCGCGCGTCTTGCGTGGCCTCAAAGCGACGCGAAACCTCGGCGGCGAGCGCCTCCGCGAATTCGGGGCTCAACATACAACGAACCCTTGTGTCGCACCCTGCGTCCAAGAAATACGATTCTTAGTACAAGCGGCACCCCTGACGCATTCGCTGGTCAGGGAGACGCGCAAGCATGCCATAACGCAATCTCGCAGCAATCGAGCACGCAACCATGTAGGATTGGGGACGGCGAAGGCAGACACTACTATTGAACCCTGACGAACACGCCACGAAAAATGTGGGCCCGACGCGGGCGCGGAATCCATTTCCAAACATTTCTCCTCGCACTGTAAGTTCGAGGTTGGCTACGCATTGAGAGTGTTCGGCAGATCGCAGCCTGTTTGAAGATACATTCTGACTCAAGCGCGGCGAGGAGGCTCTTGCTCGTCCTCGTCCTCGTTTTTTTCTCCTTCGCCCCCTCCAGGGCCGCGCGCGATCATGATGCTTGTCGTCTCTAATATGATGTGACGTCTCTCTCCCCTTCCTTGAACAAGTTCCAGTTTTCATGCTGCCCTCCAGTGTCTATGTGGATAGTGCGCCATGCCCTCGCACTGTTTTGTCTGCTTGTGCTTTGGGGCCTGCGGTCGGATAATCGCTGTAACCTTTGAGGAGCAGAGCTGGATGCAGATGAAGGAGAAGTTGAAGGAGAAGCTGCCTCCAAAGGCACGGGCGTGCTGCAACTGCAGCTTGCTCTTCTTCCTCGGCTTATTCCTCCTCTTCCATGTCTCCCTGCCCCTCCTCATTCTTCTGCTTTTCTTGTCCTCTCTCCGTTCACCGCCCTTTTTCCCTCCGGGAGGGAAGGTAGCAGGAGAAGGACGAATGGTAACAGCAATCGCTGTAGTGTTAGCATTATGAGTAGTACAACATGGTCAGGTTTTGGCCTTGTGGCTGTCCGTCTGTGTGAAAGAAAGAGGGATAGAAACAACTACCTACCTACCTACCTACCTACCTGCCTGCCTGCCTGCATGCATGCATGCATGCACGCATGTATGCATGCATGCATACATACATACATACCTACAGACATACATACATACATACATACATACATGCATACATGCATGCATGCATGCATGCATACACACATACGTACATGCATGCATACACACGTACATACATACATACATACGTACATACATATTTTCATACATACATACATACATACATACATACACACATACACACATGCACACATACACACATACACACATCCATACATACATACATACATACATACATACATACATACATTCATACATACATACATACATACACACATACATACATACATATATACGTACACACATACATACGCATGTGCACACATACACACATACACACATACATACATACATACGTACGTACGTACGTACATACATACACATACACATACACATACACATACACATACACACACACGTACACATACACATACACACACATGCACATGCACATACACATGCACACACATACATACATACACACATCCATACATACATACATACATACACACATACACACATACAATCATATATACATAATGCATACACGCACACCTACATACATACATTCAGACATACATACATACTCACATACATACATACATACATACCCATACATACGACTATGCATCTAGTGAGAGAAACACATAGAAGCAGGGTGGATGATACCCCAGAGGAAGGGACGAGAGCGAGAGAGGGGAGGCTTTAGATGTTGATGCACAAGTTATCGAAGCTACTGATGTAGATGCACATTTTTTGGGGGGTTTCCGTGCAAGACAGAGAGAGGGAGATGAAGAGAGCGAGAGAGAGAGAGAGAGAGAGAGAGAGCGAGGGAGGCACCGTGACACATACTTATGTATAGTCTTATATCAATGTAGGCATACAGGTACAGACATGTACATTTTTCTATAGAGAGATAGATAGATAGATAGATAGAGAGAGAGAGAGAGAGAGAGAAAGAGAGGGAGAGAGTTAGACATACTGTCGAGACGTCGCCCACATATAAATCTGAGCTCGCCCTCCCCACATGATCATACACATTCCCCCCTTCATCCCTCCAGTCCTCCCTCCCCCTTTCCTCCTCCTGCTCTTCTTCATCATGTTTTGCTCACTTGCCAGCAGCAACCCACTCGATTGCAATCCAAACGGGTACTCCGACAATCGAGTACTGTCTGTATCAGTCGTAGTTTCGTGTTGTAGTCGTAGGGATATCATAATACTTTAGTGCTCTGGTACGGTATTTGTACTGCCTTACTGCAGTTATGCAGATGCAGCAGTATAGTAGTAGTAGTGGTAGTAGTAGTAGTAGTAGTAGTAGTAGTAGTAGTAGTAGTAGTAGTAGTAGTCGTAGTAGTCCTCTAGTACTGTAGTCGCACTGCAGTAGTGCTGCAGTAGTACCCCGGTGCTGAAGCAGTAGTTCTCTAGTACAGGCGGCAGTAGCGATACAAAAATATTGTAGGACTGAGAATCTAGTACTGTAGTAGCGCTCTAGCGCTGAGCTGTAGTAGTAGTGGTAGTAGTAGTAGTAGTAGAAGTAGTAGTAGTGGTACTAGTAGTAGTAGTAGTAGTAGTAGTAGTAGTAGTAGTAGTAGTAGTAGTAGTAGTAGTAGTAGTAGTAGTAGTAGTAGTAGTAGTAGTAGTAGTAGTAGTAGTAGTAGTAGTAGTAGTAGTAGTATACATAGTAGTAGTAGTAGTAGTAGTAGTAGTAGTAGTAGTAGTAGTGGTAGTGGTAGTGGTAGTGGTAGTAGTAGTAGTAGTAGTAGTAGTAGTAGTAGTAGTAGTAGTAGTAGTAGTGGTAGTAGTCGTAGCAGTAGGTGTAGTAGTGATAGTAGTAGTAGTAGTAGTAGTAGTAGTAGTAGTAGTAGTAGCACTGCGGCGCGGTACTAATTGTAATACCACAATCTCGCAAACCAGCGCAACATAGAACTGGAACGCAAACTACAGTATAGCGCTGTAGAACTAGTGGGGTGCGGTACTTATTCAAAATCGAACACTGTAGTACTCGAGCGCGGTAGTACTACTGCCGTACTGCAGCTCTGTTGATGTGGCATTGTAGTATTAGTGTTCTAGTATTGTAGCCGTACTGCAGTAGTGCGGGAGTAGTACTCTAGTACTGTAATCGTAGTACTCGTAGTAGTAGTAGTAGTAGTAGTAGTAGTAGTAGTAGTAATCGTAGTAGTCGTACTCGTAGTGTTGGCTGTAGCAGTGATCCGTCGGTGGTCTAGCACTGGGATATTCCAGTGCTGTAGAAGCACTTTGGTATTGTTTTGCCGTAGTAGCAGCGCTCTGCGAGTAATGTGGCAGTGTAGGCTTAGAGCTGTAGTACCACTGTGGTAGTAGTAGTAGTAGTAGTAGTAGTAGTAGTAGTAGTAGTAGTAGTAGTAGTAGTAGTAGTCGTAGTAGTAGTAGTAATAGTCGTAGTAGTAGTAGTAGTAGTAGTAGTAGTAGTAGTAGTAGTAGTAGTAGTAGTAGTAGTCGAAGTAGTAGTAGTAGTAGCAGTAGCAGTAACAATAGTAGTAGTAGTAGTAGTAGCACTCATTAGCAATATAATAGCAGTGATACTCTCTAGTATTGACTGTAGTAGCACTACTGTTATAGTGTAACAACAGTAATTGTATACTACTATAGTAGTGCTCTGGTGCTATAGTTCTGTAGAGGTAGAGCTGTGGTAGGAATACCTTTCGTAAAATGGTAGGCTTGCAGTAGTATTGTCGGAGTACTTTACTGTCGTAACAGTATTGTAGTACTAGCTATATTAGTGGCTTTGTGGCACAGTATTATTGTTTTCGTTTCAGTGTAGTAATAGTTGAGCCCCATGTGCGTTAAGAAACTAGCAGTACCGTGGTAATGTAAGTGTATTGCTCTAACAATAGCTGTAAACATTGTAATGTCGCGCCCTAGCATCACAATCGTACTTTCATATTGTACTGCTGTAGAGGTAGCAAGGTAGTGGTAAATACTGTAAGTGTAGAAGCACAGCATTGATACTAACTGTAGAAGCACTGCAATGATACTGCAGTAGTAGTTGTATTGCCTTCGTATTGTAGTAGTACTCGTAGCAGTATTCTTGTATTGCCTGTAGTAGTGGCAATGTAGATCTGTTGGGCTGCAGACGTATTTCTGTAGTAGTATTGTTGCCTTTACTCTCTATAGAACTAGCAGCACCGTATGAGTAATGGTGTAGTGCCGTTTTTTTACAGTAGGAGTAAGTCGTACAGTAGTTCTAGTGGTGTGGTATTCAAGTGCTGCAGTCGCACTCTAGCATTGCACTATCGTAGTCGTGCATGTACCCTAGTAGTAGTACTCTAGCAACGTAGTGCTCGTACTGTTGCAGAACTTTGGTAGTAGTGTCACTCCTGTACTCTAGTAGCAGAAGTGCTCTAGTGCTGGCTGGCTGTAGTAGCCGTGCTGAAATATTGTAGCCTGATTGATACCCTAGTATTCTAAAGTTCTTGTTCGGTAGTTGGGCTCGTAGTGTTGTAATTCTGTAGAAGAAGCACAGTGAAACGATTAGTATTGTAGGAGTACTGCAGTGCTACTACAGGAACAGCAATACTATAGTACTCTAGTGCTTGCTGTGCTAACATTAATGCAGTGATACATAGTACAGTAGTACTCCACTACTGTAGTAGCACTCTGGTACTGTAGCGCTTTTGTAATAATCGATTTGCTGCATGCTTACTCTTTCCAATCATTTAGATTCTCGCATGTGTAGTGTACAATATTGTCGTAGTGCAATCTAAACACCACAGTAATATTTCCACTGCTGAACTAGACAATTATTTTTACTACAATCGTAATGCTACCAGAGTGCCACTGCGCTATAGCACTATTTGTTACTACAGTACCCTGGTGCAGACTGCACTAGTTGTACCGAAATACTGTTCTGAAGCAGTGATTTAGTATTGTACTAGCGTGATACGGCAGTAGTTCTCTAGTACTATTACGTGGCGTCGATCACTGCTCAGCCCTATCGACTAGCTACTTCTTTTGTGGTTTGCTTCACGATTCCAAGATTACCTTGGGATCGCCCAGCAACCCATATACATCTTGAAACAAGACTAAATGCGATATTATCATGGGGCCGGCTTGGGGCCTGAAATTCAAACACTTAAATTTCTGATTCTTGGCGTGCGCGGCCCTGCTGCTCGTGCGTGGAGGGAGAATCTTGAATTAGGGGTTGCGTGCAGCGCCAATTATTCTTGGCTGGGCGGGCGGCGAGCAGGGTGCCCCAGAATTTGCCGATGGGGAACAGCCGATCGGGGGAAGCCTGTGTAAGCTTATGGGGGGCGGCCTGTGCAGGGCAGACCATGGGAATCCTCAGGAATCCCAAAGGAATCTTTGCGAATCCCCATGTGCGGATTAGGGAGAGGAGGAGGGAGGAGGAGGGGGAGGAGGAGGAGGTTTGAGGAGTGTTCCAGAAACACACAGACAATCAAAACAAACAACACAACAACTATGATTTCTGAAGAATGTCAGGGGAGAGGGGGCGGCCAAGGTTCTCCAGTCTTAATTTGGGGTTGCCTGAAGTTTTTTTTGTGGTTTTCGCGATTTCGCTGATTCCGAGGAGGGGGAGGAGGTGGGAGGGGAGGAGGAGGAGGAGGAGGAGGAAGTGGAGAGTGGAGATATCGATCGGCGGCCGCGGTAGAGACGAACATGTAT